GATTCAACCAATACCCTCTGGGACACCCATCCCGAGCCATGGTCTAGGGACTCCCATGTCTTTCCTACGTGGCTGGTTTCCTTCCCTTGGTGACTGCCATCAGCAGCCATCACTTACCTAAGCCAAGGGCATCATTTCTACCTTCCTGCCCACGTGGGGGCCAGCATCTCGAGTGGCCTCAGATCTGTTCACCTGTGTGTCTCTCCCCCCAGGCAGCTTCCCCCATAACCCCCTGCCAGTCTGTTCTCCAGCGATGCCACTGAGAACCTTCTAAAGCATGTCAGCTCCCCCCACTTCCTGCTTACAGTGCTTCCAGCACTCCCCTTGCCAATTGGCAGTGCCCCAGCCCCTCCCCTAGTGCCCTGAGCCCTGAGGGGTCTGCCTAGCCCGCACCCACCCTTTCAGCTTTCTCTCTATGCATCTGTTCTTAGAACATACCGATATTTCTCTTGCCTTCCGGTATGCGCGCCCCTGCTAAACCTTGACTTGCATTTTGTGTGTTATCCGTACCGCCCACCCCACCTTTTCAGGAGTAAGACCATCCAAGCCTCTTGCCACTGGCCCTTCTCTGGCCTTTGCTGTCTCTGCTCCAACCACATCCTCCTTGTTGATTCTAGAGATAGCGGGTGGAGATGGAGACAGCTTCAGGGCTGTGCTTTTCCTCTCCCCCATCCCTTCCACCTCTGCTCAGGTGTCCCTTTCTCATTCCATCTAACCTGGCACCCCTGCCCCTGCTCCTTTCCTGTCCTGCTTCTCCCCAGGCAGCCATCGCCACCCTCTAGTACACTCTCTCACCTACTTTCCAAATCTCGGTTACTGTCTGTCTCCCCCGCGGACGTTGTAAGCTCCTTAAGGGCCAGCTTGGCATGTGCCCAACATGTAGCAAGTGCTCGAGAAATATTTTCTGAATGAACGAAACAGGTGGTGGTGTCCCATTTTATGAATGAGGAAACTGAGGCTCAGAGAGGGGAAATGACTTGCCAAGGTCCCATAGGGGATGGGTGAGGTTTCCTTGAAGGGTGGGTGGGACTCTCAGGGATGCTCACTGACCCCCACCTCTAATCCTAGTCCATGTCCCAAGGCTTAGGGGAGGCACTGCCCATGGGCACGGAGACTTTTCCTTTTGGGGTGGTGAAGACTGACCATTGGCAGAGAACCCCTCCCACTCACATACTGAGAGGTGGCTCCTACTCAGGCCGAGCAGCCGGGGGCTTTGCTAGCTACTGTGTGCCTCTGTTTGCACATCTGTAAAGTGGGGGTGAGCACAGTTCCCATCCCATGGGCTGTACTGACTGGGTGAGTTGGAAGTCTGGCACACACTGACCCTTCCAGCAGCTTCCAGGGTCTTTTCTTGTCTCTCTGGCTCTTGTTCTCCCCCTTCCGGTCTGAGGGGAAGGCACAGACTCCCTGGCCTGTGTGACCTACACCAGCCAGGATCCCATTTATTTTCTTCTTTTCTTCTTCTTCAGTCCTTCAGATGCCAAGGGCAGGTAGCCCCTTTCCTTAGATGAGGACACTGAGGCCATAGGCTGACTAGCTCAATATCACAGTGCTGGTCCTTGCTAAGGCTAGACTTGACACACGGGGCTCGTTCAACAGAGACAGGAAGTACACCCATCCTGGGTTGCCTGGGGCCCCGTTAACTCTTAACTGTGGGCCCACAAAGTGGCCTCTGGTGGGGACTCTGGCCTCCCTGGGGGACCATTTGCCTGCTGGGAAGGTAAGGCCACAGTAGGCAGGGGGCTCACATCCCACATCTCTGCTTGTTAGGAGAGGGAGGGAGGGAGGATTCATTCATTACCTCTCCATCCTTTAGCTCAGGAAACAGGCTCAGAGAAGTCAGGCGACTTGCCCATGGTCACACAGCCAGGCCTGGAACCCAGGAGGCCTGCCTTTATCTCAGATTCAGCCATATCTGGCCTTATAGCTCATGTCCTCCCTGGCCCACTTCAGGTCCCAAACCATTGGCCACTGCCTGCCTCTCTCCATTCCAGTCCTACCCAGCGTGGACTGACTAAAATGCAGTCCTAGGTACTCTACTCCCAGGCTTCAGCATCCTCAGTGGCTCTTGGTCCCCCAGGATGTGTGCAAGCTCCCTTCCAGGCCACCTGTGAGCTGACTGTCCCTCCAGGCTCTTGCTGCTGCTTTGGGCACAGCAAGCCTGCACTGCATGAACCTTCCGTCCTGTGGCGCTGGTCCCCAGCACAGCAGCCAAGGTGCTGTCCCTCTAGACCCTGCATGACTCCTCCATCTGTGGCCCCAGCAGGGCCAGGCCGGGGGTCCTTGAGTGCATGTCTCCTTAGTCCGAGTCTCTAGATACGCTGCAGACTTGCAAGATCCTGCCTGAGGAGTGAGGGGCAGCAGGGGACTCCTGGGCACTGCTCAGGTCCTCAGCCCCCTGCACATGGGAGGTGTCCAGCCGGCACATGTCACCATGTGGTTGGGCCCATGGCTGTGCCTGGATCCTGCTGACCTTGCTCTGAGTACCCACGGCAACGGCCACAGCCACATAGTAACAGGGCTCCATGTGCTCGTGGCTCCTCACACTCATTTCTGGCATCTGGTTTGCTTTGTTGAGCTGGGCAGAGCCCATCCCCTCAAACTTCTCCTCCTGCCCCCGCTCCAAGGCCTCCTTCAGATACCCCGCCCACACCCCCCATGGATGGGATCCACCCCTAAGTTCAGTCATTGACTTTCTGGATTCAGGCCCTGGCTCTGCCACTGAGGCTGACTGACCTTGAACAGGGCACAGCTGTTCCCTGAGCCTCAGTTTCCCCATCTGTGAAGTGGGCATCACGAGATCCACCTGGAGGCCTCTGAGCCCCCGGCAAGTTGTGTGCCCAGCACAGGGCCTGGCACATGGCAGCCCTGGGAGCCTGAGTGTGCTCCCTCCCCTCCTGCAGAAGGAGAAGATCCGGGAGAAGTTTGTGGAAGCCCTGAAAACAGAGTTTGCTGGCAAAGGGCTGAGGTTCTCTCGAGGTACGTGCTTCCATTCATCCCGTGGAGGGTCTGAGAGCCTGGCCCGGCCGCCAGCCCCGGCCTAAGCCTTCCTGCCCCATAGTCCTCCCCACCCAAACCCAGGCCGTGCCCTGCCTCACCCAGTTGCTCAGGTCAAAAAACCAAAGTGTCTTGTTCAGTGTTTATCTCCCTCACCACTTCCCAAGGGCAGTCTCCTAGCAAGTCCCAGGGCCCTGCATCCAGAATGTTTCTGGAATCTGACCACGGCTCACACCTCCGCCACCAGCAGCCTCTTCTCAGGCTCTGGCAGTCCAACACCACCATCATAGTGTCCAGTGTCCAGGGATGCTCCTGGGAAAGCAGACCATGCTAGACCCCAGGACCTAAGTGGCCGCGCCCCTGCACTCCCCTGGCCTCCTCTGGTACTGGGACACTCTGTGCCCTTCTCCGCCTTGGGGACTGTGCTTGGTTCCCTGCAGTTGGCGCTCTGGCTCAGGCCTTAGCTCAGTGTCCCCTCCCAGAGAGGTCTCCCCCACAGCGCTGTCTGGGGGACCTTCCGGCTCTCTACCCCACTGCCCTGAGGTGGCCTGGCCTGTTCACTACCTCTTCTGCCCGCCAGGATCACAGCTCTCAGTGAGGAGCCTGAGGCTGCCAGGCCCTGTGCCTGGCTCTATGTAGGCATAAATGCAGGATCTTGGCCAAGTCCACCCCGTAGGCCACCCCACTGTTAGCCTCGTCTGCCACCCTCCACAGGCGGCATGATCAGCTTTGACGTCTTCCCTGAGGGCTGGGACAAGCGCTACTGTCTGGACAGCCTGGACCAGGACAGCTTTGACACCATCCACTTCTTTGGGAACGAGACCAGCCCTGTGAGTATGGCTCAGCCCAGGTGTATTCCACTCCAAGTCACCCCCAGGTCAAGGCCAGGACACAGGGGAACAGAAACCTCCCTCAGGAGACCCCTGGAGAACAGCCAGTGTTCCTCAGCCCCATTACACAGATTGGAAGGCTGGGGCTAGAGCTGGCTGGACACTTGTCTCATGTCACATAGCAAGTGAGGGCAGATCTGGTGAAGGCTGAGAAGGGGGGGTTCTGGGTGGTTCTGAGGGGGGCTGGAGGAGAGGCAACTCTGCAGGAGCCAGTGTAGGGAGGGGACCCTGTGGCAGGGGACATGCTGGGCCTTAGCCCTGGGAACCTCCTCCAGGCACCACATACATAAGTGCCTTCCTGCCCTCCCTTGTGCGCAGGGTGGGAATGACTTCGAGATCTACGCTGACCCCCGGACCGTCGGCCACAGCGTGGTCTCTCCGCAGGATACGGTACAGCGATGCCGTGAGATCTTTTTCCCAGAGACCGCGCATGAGGCGTGACCAGGGCCCATGCCTGCTCGTAGGGACTTCAGAGAACTCCCCCCAGGCCTAAAGAGAGCCCCTGGCCCTGATGGTGGGGGTTGGGGGGTGCCAGGCCCCTCCTCCTGTGGCTCAGGATGCCTGCCTATGACCTGCTGCAAGGCCTCCCTTGACAGGGCCAGGGTCCGCACAGACAACCGTCCCCAGCTAGTCAGCTCCTGGGGGGACCGGCTCTGTCCTCCACCTTGATGGCCCTGGCCACAGCTGCTGCTTGTACTTGTGAACAGGACAGATTTCGGTCTACGCCACAAGTAGGCCTGTGCTAATGTTGGCACTAGATAGAGCCCGCCCAGTTTGCCTGTCCCAGGCAGGGTGCAGAGCACTGGGGAAGGTGCGTATTTGCCAGAACTTTCTCTCTCAAACATTAAAGTTCCTGGAACAAGGTATGGTGTCAGCTCTGTCTGAATACGTAATTGGCCCCCATCACAAACCACCGATGTCCCAGCCACCTCTTGGCAGGTGAGGGAGCTGAGGCAGAGCTGGCAGGGACTCCCCGACCCCCTGCTGGGTCACACAGGAAGTCTTCGACCCACTTGACTGTGGGCCACTGAAACCCTAAAACAGGTTAAGTTTGGGGTACTCTCCCCCAGTGCCTCCCCCAGGACCCAGACAGACGGAGGCAGCTCTGGGCCAGGCGGAGTCACAGTTGAGGGTTTATTGCCAGTGTTAGGAAGGATGGGGGTTGTGGGGGGGGTCCAGGCGGTTTGGACACTGTGGGGCCATGGGTTTGGAGGGGCACAGCCGCCCCCTGCCTCCCAGGCAGCCCTGGCGCTGATGTTACCACATCTTCTGTCCTGGCTAGTGCCTAAAAACGGGGTGTCTGCTCAAAGGAGGGAGTCTCAGGGGGCTCCCAGGAGTTAACCTGTACCCATAAACCTTCCACCAAGGAAGCCAGGGAGTCCTTGTTCCTCTGGGTCAAGTCCTCGGGCCTTGTCCGAACAGCCCGGCTCAGACTAGGGTGTCAGGCTGGGCTATTCCATTTCTCAGCAGCTCTGATCTCCCCCCAGCCTGGTAGGGACCGACATGTGGTGCACGTACCCCAGCTCATTGCTACCCTGCGGGCCTCGGGGCACCTACAGTACTGGGGATCGTTCTAAACAGATACCCCTCATCTTGGGCACTTGAGCCTGTTTTACTCACAGACCCGGTCTCACAAGGATCACTGTCCCTGGCAGGCATTCTCTCGACCCCCATTTCTTATCCCATCAAATGGTGTGTTCTCTGGGAAGGAGTGTGGTGGTGATGGCGGGGGTAGTGGAGGCAAAGCCTCTCCTTTCTGGCCTCCCAGGCCACACCAACCCCCCACAACCCGAGAGCAAATGCACACAGACACATACACGCACAGACACACACACCTTAAGGGACCCAATGCATGAGATCGGGACCATACCCCCCAGCCGCTGGCCTACTGGGGGCCAGCAGTAAGGGCTGAAGCTTCAGGGAGAGGGTCCAGCAAGGGGCTGCGGGGCTAGTGGTCTTGGGCTGAGGGCCAGCCTATGGGTGCCCCTGCCTGCCTCTGCCTGAGGGGACACACGTCTGCCTGGTGGGGTCCTCAGCAGCCACATCTGGGCATGGGCAGAGCATCAGCGGAGTTTGTGGGTCAGGGCGAAGGGGATGGTTCCGTCCAAGCCGGGGGAGACGTGCCCCTACCCCTCCACAGATCTGTGTCTCCGAGTGGTGGCGGCGTGGCTCAGTGCAGCTCAGGGGAGGGGACACAGCCTTGAGCTCACAGAGCCATTGCCAGGCTGAGGAGGCAGAGGGACCATGGCCGGCAAAACTGAGACCCCAAAACCACCTTCTGCCTTCAGCTCCTGCTTGCCTGCCTCTCCAGGATGCTGAGAGGAGGGAGCAGGTGGAAGGAAGGGAGGCTGGGCCCGTGGCAGTGAGGAGGGTTCTGACTCCAAGGGTTACCCTCTTCCCCTGCCAGAGGCTGGGAGGCGCTCCCAGAGCTCTCGCTGGCCAGGCTTCTGAGGGAAGGGCTACAGGCCACCGTGGGAGGCCCCAGCCCAGGGTGGGAGGTGTAAGGAGCACAAGCAGAGTCTGGTCCCTGGGCCAGGCCTGGAGCAGAGGCAAGGGCAACACGCTTGTATGGACAGGGGCCCACCGGTGCCCCCTGCCTCCCGGGACCAGGCCTGACGCAGGCCCTCGGGCTCGGTGGACAGGAGGGCGAGAGGGTCCTGTGCGGATGTGGCAGGGATGGGAAGGAGACAGCGGACGAACAGGCGGGGCTGGGGGCCTCCCCTTTGGTCCAGCTCACGCAACAGTCACGGGTCACGGGGGGCGGATGGAGGCACGTGCTCACGGCCACAAGCACAGACAGACAGACGTGTATGCTGAGGCTGCCCAAGGGACCGGGCCAGCTAGTACAGCGGGGCCTGGAGCCCCCAGCTGCCCATCTACCCTGTGTGGCTCCCCACCCGCCCGGCGGCTGACACGTGAGCCCCCCAGCCTAGGAGCCCACGACCTGGCCAGACCACGTCTCGTGGGGAGTATGTGGGGCCAACTGGGTGAGCACCACCTCCACGGCCTGGAACTTCTGGTTCTTGGGTGGGATGGGGCACATCTTGTAGGTCACCTCGTCGCCTTCCACGGGCACGTACTCCCCCTCGATGCTGGTGGGCAGGAGAGCGGCGTCAGCCCAGCAGCGGGCCCCACTCCCAGACACCCGCTGTGGGCTGGCCTGAGGGCTGCCTCCCCTCCCTTCTCAGAGCTTCAGCTCTCTAACTTGTAAAATGGGACTCCAAAATGGTCCCTCCCTGTCTGTGCTGTTTGGGGATTGAGACATGAAAGGCAAGGGAGGTCTGGAGGCCTAGAGAAGCTCAGTGCCCTCCCCAGGTCTTGCCTGGCACCAGGGCTAGGGGCCAGGCCTAGGTCATCTCTCCCATGCCCATCTACCTTCCAGGCCGAAAGACCCAGGGGCTGGCCCCGCCCTCTCAGTTCCCGTGATGCCGGATCCCAGGGCTCAGCCAGTAGTTCCCGGGGCTTCTGGGGCCAGGATGTCCCCTCCCCACCTGGTCCCAGCCTTCCCCTGCTCCCCCTCCCACGCACCAGCAGCCCCTGCGACAGGAGGAGAAAGATGCCAGGGACACAGACTTCAGCCAGCCAGGGTACAGGCCTGGAGAGGCGTTTTTAGAGGCCTTGCCAGGACCCTGCAGGAGGGGCCCAGCCAGGAATGTAGTGGGGGAGGGACTCACTCAGATACATGCACAAAGATGTCCTCGGATCCATTCTCGGGGGTGATGAAGCCGTGGCCCTGTGAGCGTGAGAACTGCTTACAGACGCCTTTGAACACGGGGCCAGCCGAGGCCCGGGCTGTCCTGAGGTAAGAGTAGGGGGATTAGAGCTGTGTTCTGGGGACTCCCCTCCCTGGACTCCCACAGCCCTCCTTGGCCATGTCTGCCTGCAGAGCCTGTCCCAGGGCTGTAGAAAGTCCTCCCCAGGCCAGAAACTGCACACGGTAATGCTCTGTCATGGTCACATTGGACAATAAGGAGACTGAGGCCCAGAGAGGGGAACTGGCTCTCCCAGGGTACACAGCAAGCAAATTTCCTGACTCCCAGCCAGTGCCCCTCTCTGTGCAGAGCACCCTTTCCTCCTGAGACAATTTAGGTTTACATGGGCTCCTGCTGTAAGACTTCTGAGTGAAGAATACCCAGCCTGAACTTGAATACCTCTCAAAATGGGGAGCTCACCACCTTTTGAGGTCACGGTATCCTATTCACTTATTTGTCCGTTACCCACTCATTCATCATTTATCAAGCGTCTGCTCTGTGCCCAGCCTTGGGTTGGACACAGGGGACAACTAGTCCCATCCAAAACCTCTCCTTTAGGGATACCTGGCTGGCTCAGTCGGTGGAGCACATGACTCTTGCTCTCAGGGTTGTAAGTTCAAGCTCCATGTTGGGTGTAGGGCTTACTTAAAGCAAAAACAAAAAATCTCTCCTTTGGCCAAGGCAAGTCAGTCTGCCTGTGATCTCTCCAAATCGCCTCTCCCATGTGACCCCAGCCAGCGAACTACCCCAGAGGCCCAAGGCTGGTCTCTGTCTAGCCCGCCCACCCCTCACCAGAGGTCAGTCCTTGCTTCCATTTTGGTCCAGGCTAACCCATGTACCTCGAACACCCAACTTCCTTCTTCACCTAACACGTCCTCCAAACTCACTAGGACCTCATCCCCCTGATGCCTGACATTGTATCCTCTCTCCCAACCCTGCTGGGTGGAGGTGAACTGTAGACAAATTCCTTCTGGATTATAGACAGCTTATAGGCAGAGTCTGTCTTATTCATCACCGGATGCCCTAGTCAGATGCTCAGTAGATCTTAGTAGAATGAAGAATGAATGAATGAATAAACACAGTAGTTTCTGGAAGGTCCATATCCAGCTCCCCTGTCCTTGAGTGAGGACAGAAGGGGTTAGTCAAAGATAGGACTGGAGCCTTGTCCTGGGGAAAGATCCCTGGAGCCTGGGCGAGGGGCAGGTACTCACGCTGAATACGTCCTGGTCCGTTTGGTGGGCAGAGGACTGGGCAGGTCCCGGGACGAGACGCCGCCCCGCTCCCAGACCCTGCTGCCCTCCCGGTGGAAGGGGAAGGTGGGCCAGACAGGAGACTTGGGGGAGTGGAGTGGGGGCACTACCGGGGGCGACGTGGGCTCTGAAGTCATGGCGGGTCCCGCGAGAGAGCCCGGTGGGCTCCCGGGCACAGGGGCCGGTGAAGAACTTGGGCGTCCTTGCGGGCAGGGCCCGGCCTGGCCCTGCTCGGCAGCCGCACCAGCCGCGGGCTCCGTCTGGAAGGGGGAGAAAGAGGCAGAGTTGAGTGTGGGCCGGGCTGAGTGGCTTCTGGACACCAGGCCCGAGCCTGGAGGGCCGGGCCTATTCGCCGACCCTCACAGTGTGACCTCAGGCCACTCACGACCCCACACTGACTCAGAATCCTTCCCAGAAAGACAAAACGGTCTTATAACCTTGCTCTGAGCTGAATTATTTCCCCCTAAAATTCATATCTGGAAGTCCTAACCCCAATGTGGTGGTATTTGGAGATGGGGCCTCGGGGAAGCCAATAGGAGCAGGTGAGGTGGGAGAGGGGTGTGGGGGGTGTGATGTGATTAGTGCCCTTGGAAGAAGAGACCCAAAGAGCTTGCTTCCTCTCCGCCATGTGGGGACACAACGAGACAGGAGCTGTCTATAGGAAGGGGGCTCTCACTAGAACCAGACCATGCTGGCTCCCCGATCTTGGCCCGCCAGCCTCCAGAGCTGTGAGAATTAAACTGTCGTTGAAGTCCCCCGTCCACGGTATTGGGTCACAAGGGATGGTCCAAGCTAAAACTAACCTCCAAGTCCTTCCAGCTTGAGGCTCAGTTCTCTAACTCCAGGGGCCTGAGAGGTGGGATGGGGAAAGCGGCCAGTGACCATCTGGAACACGGTTTGGCCCAAGTGTGAGCAGTTTCACATCCACACACCTGGGCTCGAATCTCAGCTTCGTCACTGTCACTTGGTGACTTCAACAGTTCCAGGAGACAGTGCAGGCTCTGGAGCAGGCTCTGACCAGGGACCTCCTGCCCCTAACCGGCTATGCAGCCTGCCTTAATCAACGCTTTTAATCTTTGACTCAGTTTTCTGCACTGTAAAATGGGGCTAGTGCTGGTCTTCACTTCGCGGCAAGGTTGCTGTCAGGATTCAGTGACTCTCTCCACGCCAGGGCGTGGTAAGCCCTTGGGAACGCTGGTGAGTTTGCCTTAGCCCTATTTTCCTCTGCTCCGAAGTGAGATTGAGAATACTTACTGTGCAAGGTTGCTGAGGGGTCACTGGCGGAGATACCCAATGAATAGCTCTCGTCAATGCTCAGCAATAGAAATTCCTTGTCACCAGCTAAGGGCCTGGATGACCTTGAAAAAATTCACCCTGTTTTCCTCTACTGAGGAGGAGAACATAGTTCTCTCCCCACGGGGGTTGGGAAGTCTCAGACCCTAAGAGACGCTGCCATGGAACCCCGGGGAGGACGGCTCAGTGTACTGAGCCAGGCTGTGGATGGAGCCCGGGGCCACAGTGGGGCCAGGCAAGACACGTGGACCAGGAGCCCTCCAGCTCTGCCACGGACCAGCCGCCAACCTTGGGGAGTACTTCCACTGGCCTCAGTCTCCTCATCTGTATAGAGCAGCTGATAAACCCTGCCTTACTCCCTCACAAGCTATGGTGAGCCTTGGCTAAGCCTAGGCCTTTCCAGAGGCCCCATCATAATCTACAGTTATGCAGGAATGAGGAGGACAGGATTCTCTACCTCCTCAGCCCCCTTCTTCACTACCTCCCCGCTCACCCAAAGACCCTAGTGCCTGAGGTAAATCCCTGAGCCGCAACCCTATTTCTGGCCTCCATCTTGTGCCCCACCCCCGCTCCGGCCTAGAATTTCCAGGGTAGAATCGCCCTGAAACGCAGTGTGGCAAGGGATGGGAGAGCGGAGAAGTCACAAGATCCAACAGTGGGGCAGGTCTCCTGCCTGCCATTCAAGGTCACACAGCAAGTGGGACCCATCTGGGTCAGGATCATGAGCTGGTTCTGCCGGGCCTCCAGGTGGAGATGCGGCCTTCCTCCTCCCCAGCCCCCCCGCCCCCCAACATGCCTCTCCACCCAGGAGAGCTGGTCCCTCACGGCCCCTCACAGCTCCTCACAGCCCCCTCAAGCCGATGTGGGGTTTTTCTTTCCGAGCCTGCTCCAGGAGGCCGGGCCAGGTTTGGCATTTTTATTCCCATTTTTATTTTTATTTTTTTAAAGATTTTATTTATTTATTTGACAGACATCACAAGCAGGCAGAGAGGCAGGCAGAGGGAGAGGAGGAAGCAGGCTCCCCGCTGAGCAGAAAGCCCGATGCGGGGCTCGATCCCAGGACCCTGGGATCATGACCTGAGCTGAAAGCAGAGGCTTTAACCCACTGAGCCACCCAGGCGCCCCTTATTCCCATTTTTAGAGAGAAGAAAACGCAATCACACAAGAACTTGGGCCTGAGTGTTCACAGCAGCATTATCCACAACAGGCCCAAAGTGGAAATGAGCCAGAAGTCCATCAACAGACGAGCGGATAAATAAGCCGTGGTCTAGCCACAGAGCGGAACCTGATTCAGCCGTAAAGAGGAACGGGAGTCCTGACACCTGCTGCAACACAGACGAGCCTGGAGACCCTTACACCGAGTGGAAGAAGCCAGCCAGCCACAAGAAAGCACGTTGCGGGGACGCCTGGGTGGCTCAGTTGGTTGGACGACTGCCTTCGGCTCGGGTCATGATCCCGGGGTCCCAGGATCGAGTCCCACATCGGGCTCCCAGCTCCATGGGGAGTCTGCTTCTCCCTCTGACCTTCTCCTCCCTCATGCTCTCTCTCACTGTCTCGCTCTCAAATAAATAAATAAATAAAATCTTTAAAAAAAAAAAAGAAAGCACGTTGCGGGATTCTATCCATGTGACATGTCCAGAATGGACAAGTCCACAGAGACAGAAAGGACATCAGTGCTTGCCAGGAATTGGGGGGATGGGATCATGGGGAGTAAATTCTAACAGGTGCAGTTTCTTTCTGGGGTGATGAAAATGTCCTGAGGTTGATCATGGCCTTGTTGCACAATTTTGTGACCATACTGAAAACCACTGACTCGTCTACCTTGAACGGTTGAATCATACGGTATGTGGGTTATATCGCCATAAAGCTGTTATCAAAAAGGAAACCGGGCAGCAAAACTACCCAAGATGTCAGCGCCAGGAGAGCAAGAGACGTCGGGGCCCCACAGTGCCCGCTCAGGTGTCCCCTCCGCACCTGGGCACGGGTGGCAGGTGGAGAGACGCTCCCCTTCCTTCTGTCCAGAAAGCTGGGCAGTCCCAGCCTGCCCACTACACAATTTCCCCAGAGCTGGCATTGTGCTTGGTGGTGACAGCCGGTGCTGGGAGGTCGTGGGGAGGAGGGGCAGAGGCAGCCCACAGCCGTTACCAGGGAGACACAGCTGAGCCAGGCCCTGCTCTGGCCGGGCCGGCCAGGCCTCCCGACCAGAAGCTTCTTGCAGGGAAGGGGGAGAGATGCATTGATTAATTACCCAGGGTTAGGGGTGAGGGAAGGCCCCTCTTCCTTCCCCTCCCCAAAATGGTTCCCCATAAGGGACTAGGCAGCAGAAGAGAGGAGGATGGAATAAGGGCAGGGATAGGCCTTCCTACCCTCTGGCCCCACAGGACTGGCTGCTCCCGGCCCTTCAACCCCACCCCAAACACCGCTCTGTGCAAGCAGCCCACGGTTGGCCTTAGGAGTTAGGGCTGGGGGTGCAGAAAAGGCCGCCTCCAGGGGGGCAGAGGGTGCTGCCCTCAGATCTCCCCCATCTCCCTCCTCTTCTGGAAAACAGGGAGTGCCAGAACCCGTCCTCCAGAGCTCCTGTAAGGATGAAATGCGAGGCAGTGCGGGGTGGTGGGGGGGGTGGAGAACAGCAGGTGCTGGGCGAGAGGTCGCCCCTTCCAGACAGGGCTGCTAAATTGGGCTTAGGGGGAAGAGGGAGTGGGAGGAAGGAGAGCCCCAGCTGAGCCAAGCCAAGCCCATCCCCACTCCCCTCTTTACTGTATCCCAAGGTCTTGCCCACCTACCAGGCCCCTGCCCTGCCCCTCAGAGCTTCTCCCTTATTAATTCCTGCAGCTGCCCTTTCAGTGGTTGCCTTTATGACTACATTTTGCAGAGGAGGAAACTAAGGCTCAGAGAGACCAAGTCATTCACTCAAGGTCACACAGCAATTATTGTCTGAGCCAGGACTCAAAGGTAATCTGACTTTGGAGCCCTGAGTTCAGGCCCTGCGTTGCCACTGAGTTGCTGTGCGACCTTGGACAGGCTTCCCCTCTCTGGGCCCTGCCAGAAGAGAATAAGGGGACACAGAGCAAACTTCCAGTTCAGACCCTCTCCCCAGGGTGTTGCTGCAGAAAGGAACAGTAAAGACAGGCTTTTATTGTCTGAATGCGGTATCTAGTGCAAAAGTCTTTACAGAGGTCACTTTCCCTTCGGAAATCTCCCAGTGGCCCTGAAAGGTTGAGAATTTCCATCATTTCTATTTTACAGCTAAGGAAACTGAGGCTCAGGGAGGTGGAGTGACTCACCCAAGGTCACAGAGCAGGTAAGTGAGAAGAGCCCAGATTCATCTGAAAGCAAATGGTGTTCTTAAATTCTGCTCCTGGTTCAGCCAAAACACAGCTGGAGTTTTTACTAAAAGACCTTTCCCTGAGAACTGAAGGGGAAAATAAACTCCCAAAAGCAGCGAAACACATGAGTTTGAAGAAAGTTTGTTTCAATTCAGGGTAAAGCCCAGCCCCCAGGGGACTCGGTCCTAGTGTCTGGGAGCACGTGTGGCCCAGAACGAAGCCCTTCAGAACTGGCCGCTGGAGGTTCGAGGACATGTTGGGACCATTTCTGGCCTGGGCTGGACGCCAGTGACCCTCCCCTTCTGAGCCTCAGTTTCCTTATTTGTCCGAAGGCTATTAGTAGCACCTGTCCCGCGTGTAGGAGGGGCTGAGGGGCGGCTGTATCAACAGGCCACCTGTGAGGGCACGTCTCCCTGTCCACATGTTCTGGCTCTGACCCTCCCGGCCACGCTTGTCTTCATTTCCCTGCATGAAGGCCAAACCTGGCCATTCTGAGGACAGAAGGACTAGGGGAGGTAAAACCAGAACATCAGGGCTGTTCAGAGGTAACCTGAGGCGAGGCTGTGATACAGTGTGACTCAGCCCTGTCAGCAGGTGACCATCGTCCTGGTGCTGGGGCTTCTCCAGTTCTCAGATACCCCAAAAAGAC